TTTAAAGGTTTATAACTTTAAATTAAATTGTGAAGCGCTGAGTAATCATACGACGTTCAATATTCTTTCTTTCAATATGACTAAATAATCCCAATTATAGCAATCTGATACTCATGTCTCAATGTTTTTCCGCTGAATGTGATGAAAACATTTGAAAAAGGTTCGCTTATTGAAATAAATCTACACCAGTTAGTACTTCGATTTCCAGGTAAAGGGAAAAGGCTCATTATCTGCCATATTGGCAGTGAGGATTGATTTGTTGTTGACGGTCTGTGGTGCTTTGAGTCTAAGAAAACTGGAGATTACTACGAGGAAATGAATGGCGAATCGTTTGAACAGTGGTTTTCAAAAATTTTACCGAACTTAGAGGAAAACGCAGTAATTGTGTTGGATAATGCGCCTTATCATTCTCGAAGAATGGAGAAGGTCCCAACAACGGCTTCAAGGAAAGTTGATGTTCAAAATTGGCTCCGCTCGAAAAATATCAACTTTGAAGAAGCAATGCTGAAAGTACAATTATTAAGAATTGTCAAGGATCACAAGGCGGAATATCAAAAATACGCCATTGACGAAATGGCAGCAAGTCAAAATAAAACTGTGCTCCGTTTACCTCCATACCAGCTCAATCCCATTGAGCTCATATGGGCAGAGGTTAAAAATTATATAGCTAAGCGCAATACAACTTTTAAATTTTATGACCTCAACGGACTTTTCAAAGAAGCACTAGAATTAATAACAGCGCAAAAATGGGAAAACTGTATTAAGCACGTGAAAGACAAAGTTGAAAAGAGAATGTGGGAACTGGACAATATTTTAGAGGAACAAGTCGAGCCATTCATTATTGACGTTGGTGCTTCAGGCAGTAGCGATGATGAAAGCTCATCAAGCTCATCTTTCCAATAAAAGATGTCGTTCATCAAATTCGGTAAGTTATAAGTAATTATAAAGCTACTGTATTTTTTAATTAATTATTGACATTTTTGAACCCATTTTGGCAAAACCTATTCAAGAATCTACTTTCTGACAATGTTCAACCATGCACATTTTTTTACGTTTTGAACGTTTTAATTTGGTTACATATTTACCTATAAATCAAAAAATATACTAATCAATATTCTAAAAGCAATTTTAAGAGATATACGATTATTTTTAATTTAGGCTAATTTAAACGCCATTTTGAGATTATATTCGACTGTATTTCACCAAACATCAGGCGGCATCCGAAGCTGGAAATCGAAGCGAAAATTTTGAAACCCTTATGTATATTTACATCATTATATATTTCTTACCCCACCCCCACATGATCCTATATCCATCACCAATCGTATACACATCGAATTGTGCTAATTTACTACAAAGTTACGCAAAGCAGCATCTACTATCTAAAATATGTACTGCGTGACTCTTAATACGTCCCTGCCGAATGTTACAGCGTTCGATGATCACGTGGTCTTGTTTATGTCCGGTCTATCTCTTATCTGAATATACTGTAGATAGTATTAACACTCTACTCTGACAAACCTGATTCAGGATTCCGTATTTATTAAGAATTATTTAAGGAAAAAGTTCCACATATTTTGTGTCGTTTTGTGAGATCGAACCCAAGATACTGTGGTCACTAAGTATTCATATGATATGAGTTTGTGCATCGTTAACATTGAGGCTAATAAACACACGCCTAGGATACGAAAAAACTTAAACGTTATTTCTTTTCCAACAGTAACAGGTTAACCACCAACCACGGAGTTCAACAATGCATGACAAGTCTAATAACGATATGCGGTCACCTAGGAATATCTAAGAGCCATGGTCTAGCAAATTCGCGAATAGTTGAGGCACTGAGAAGAAAATTAAAAAATTAATTGAGGTTCGACATAACCTGGACAGGAATTGGTTGAAGAGACTAGTTTTGTCGCCTTCATATTAACAGTCATTTTCGTGCATCCATGGAATATTGCTCACCTGGGTAATCTCCCTTTTTTTCGGAAGACTTGTAGAGTTAACGAGGCACATTTCAAAGTTTTAAGACACAGTACCAGTAACATACCAGTGGCACCCAAACGAACATCCAGTTATTATGAATGGTCTATCTTTTCCAAAAAAATTAATGTGCTTCATTCTAACGCACTGTATTAACTTCTATTTGCAAAGCCACGTGTAGAATAAATAGAGAGGACAGTTGTTTTCGTTTAGCATTTTCACCGCACGCTTCGTTGAATCAACATAACCGACAATCTCTCGTTGCTCTTTGGTTGATTCATTGAAGATAAAGCGACTTTATAGCTCAAGAACCCATAATTTGTATCACAAAATTATTATAATTGGTTAAGGTTGAGATGGATCTTTCAGAAGTAAGGCAGGATCTTTAACCCGTCTGTAGTCGCGCCGGGTTTGACTGACCCATATGCTTCTAAAACCTACCACTGCGTATCATATATGTGACAACACTGCCCACTACCTTCCTATAGTATGATGAAGATTATATATCTGTTGTTAGTGTCAGCGCAGCCGCAAAGCCGTGTGTGTTGTTCTATGTTTCGGATTTCAGCGCGACTTAATACAAATTTCTCGCAGTGTCAAGACTCTTATGGGGAGAAAATAGGTTCTGGAGATGACAGCAATTAATTTGCCATTATTCATTAAGTCAATGTTCCTTATCGATCATTATTTTTGCGTTCAATGTTTTATTTCACTGTTTTCTTTTTTTTATTGCTTTTAGTTTGACATTGTGATTTAAATCTATTAAGAGGTATTAATAAACGCATTTCATGTCGTCGATGTATGAGTTGACATATGTCAAACAATATACTGGCGGATGCGTTATTCTAGGCAAACGATTTTTTTATATCAAAGAAAACGGAAAGTTCGCCTGGGTCTGATAGACCCAACGCGAAAAATAGTTTAGTTCACGAAACAGACATACAAGTCATAATTTTTTACGTGCAAGCGAAATTAATTTCCAAAAAATATAATATGTATGATAACGCTTCAGTTATTTCAATTGAATCATTTCAAAAACCTCATGAGTCACGTCGTTTGATTTTTTCAGTGAGCATCCAAAACTATGCAATGACGAATAAATCAGTTTTAAAGAACAATTCGTTAGTAATAATGATAGAAAAATCTCGAACAGCTGTTCAGGATTTATGTTATTTTATCAAGAAATAGGATTAGTGGTATCTAGCTCAAGCAAAAGGGTACTATCAAGCATATTTTTCTATTGCTTATTATGAAATTAGCACTTGAATATTGACATATTAATTGTTTCAATATAACACATTTTAATGTATTTTAAGGTACATAAGGGAAACCCAGACAAAGCGAACATCATTTCCCTTTTTACATCCAAACCAAGAATCAGCCATCATTAAAAAATACATAAACTTTTTCAACCTTCTTAATAATGGAAAATGGTTGTACAAATATAAGAACCCACGTGCTTATTTGACTACCAGACAGCAATATGTAGTCTCTAACAAACACTTTTTGCAAGACAGTTGTGCATGTAATTCCATTTATGTACAGGTACTCTCTATACGAACAGCTTTTTGAGATACTTAGCGTATATTTAAAGGACTTACACAGTATAATGAGGAGGATTGAGTCAGTGGTTATAGTAGGAAACAAATAGCGATTTCGGGCAAACCTGATAAGGAAAAGCTACCCACAGTCGAGTATTGCATGTAAAAATATCTTGAGCCATTTGACTTACTGACTTACATGAATTACGACTAAGACACACATCTACCATTAGGGATGCTGCTCCAGCCAGAAAACTTACTTAGGCGATTTTGGAAATGACCATTTAAATCTTTAACTCGTCTCCTACGCATCTTCTGATGATGATTTTTTTTCTATTTCTTATCAGCATCATCGTGGAGTAAAACAATATTGCTAGGACAAATATGAAGACAAGTAAACGTCTATGTTACTTTTTTTATACCAAATATTGTGATTTTCTTTGTGAATGGGACAGTCGTGCACGAGATCGTCAACAGAAGGAGTGGCCACTACGTCAAAAATATTGCTCATGAACCACTAGTTGATCCCAAAAATGTGTTGCTTCCACATTTGCATATTAAGTTGGGACTGATGAAAAATTTTGTGAAAGCTATGGATCGAAATGGAAGAGGGTTTCTGCATTTAAAACAAAACTTACGTAACTTTGATGCCATTATACTGCATGAAAAATTGTATTAGGTCCGGACGGAGTTCGCCCTTCCATCCTAACTGTGTCGAACTTCGTACATCCAGAACTGTCTGATACGACCACTCCTTTGCCGCTAGGGTGTCGGGATTATGAAACATTCTACAAGAGGAAGCTTTTCCCAGTTCTACCAACCTTAGGCAATTCAAAAACCGGATTAACAAAGTTTCTTTGAGATCCTCATAGCAGCCGAATTTCGACTTAGAGCTGTTTCCTCTAACATTTTCTTGACGGAAAAGTTGTTCCTCGGTTTATTTTCATGATAAATAGCAGGGAAAAGGTACGACAGTCCCGCCATTGTCCATCAGACCCATCTCTATTCAGTTAAGTTTGTAATAGAAGATGTCGTGGAACATTTAATCATATGGAAAACCTAGGAATATAAAGAAAATAGTGCCTTAAATTAGACGTCCATTTTGTTATCTTTAAAAAACATAATAGAAGTAGCTAAAAGTATAATTCTGTGCCTTAGAGGTATATAGTTGTAACTCCATATAATGCAATTCAGAGAACAAGCAAATTAAAGGTTGAGTTAGAAGCAGAATGGCTTTTTGTTCATGTTAGTGTTAATATGCAAATATAGTTTTTTGGTAAAACATATTATATGGTACACAGAACAGTAATGCTTCATGCTAATGATCTTAGAGTTTGATATTCAGATTATTTTGTGAGTTACGACTATTTGCTATGATAATAAAATCCAGGTGCAGCATAGGATGAAACACAGAAAGTGCAATTGGTGAAAATAGCTACATTTTATTATTACAAAAAATTACATCTGGAGAATATATATTCAATCGTCGTCGTCGTCATCATCTCCTTGTTGACCCAGCACAGAAATATTTTTATAAAAATCATGAAATGCATCTGGTATCCATTGCAGAAGCATGAGAAGATGATCGTGCTTTTTCTTGCTAAGTCCTTTTGGGGTTTGACACGGCGAACATAGTTCTAGTGGTAACCCTATCGGTTTTCTAGAGGATCTATTCATGTTTACGATTTTGTAGTCCTTTTGGAATATGTCTGTTTTATAGTAGAGTATCCCTGGATCCTGTTTTCGAACCTCAAGCCACACCGCTGATGACACTAAAAAGCTTTCTTTGTGCACTGTCTGTTTCTTTTGAATGAGAGGTGATCCTGTCCCGGAATATAAGGCCTCGAAGTTCTTGAAGTCATCTAAGTGCATCTCGAAAACTGTGGCTCCGGTTGATCTTATAAGTTGCTGCCAGTCCCATAGAGTACATAGTTTTACGATCATCATAATGTTCCTGTTTTGGCTCGGACACCTATAATATCAATTATGTTGTACTTACTAGATTCTTGAGAATCGATTTCCTCCTCCAGTGCAATCTGCACTAATTTTTGAGCCATTGAGGACATTATTACCGTTTTTTGGTAACTTAAGCACCTTGATCAACTTTGAAGAATGATTGAACAACACAGTTTGTAAAGCAAGCGCTGCGTAACGATGATTCATATGATAGTATTGTGCGTATGTATGGAGAAGCGGCTGTTTACCTCTAACATAAAATCACTAGCTCCTTGTTCTATTTCATATATTTCATTATTATCGAGGTTAGGCTCTACGATCATTTACTCCACGTAAAGATTAACCAGGGACACTAATTATACGCAGATAATCACAAAACCTGCAAAAATGGAGATACGATCGTTTACCCCTAAGGCACAGCTTTTAAAGCTACCTTTATAAATTATAGCTAAAAGTAATTACTAAAGGAGGCTTTTCCCAGTTCTACTAACCTTGAGTTAACAAAATTTCTTCAAGATCCTCACAGCAGCCGCTGTGCCCTGGCATTTAGGTTTCTGCCTGCGTTGCTGCTTCCGCGTAAAAAAACTAGAAGTTGTCTGGAACGCGTGGGAGATATAGGGTCAATCTACTCGACGCCATTAGACGTGTTCATGTAATCTGCCAAATCTGTATCAGTTAAGATAAGAACGTCTCTTGATACGGACCCCGGACTATCACGATTTATTTCACCCAACGCAAAGACAGCACAGATGCTATCAAATGTCAATGGTGGAATTTTTGCGCGAGATCAAGTTGCCCGGTATTAGATATGCTGAAATGCTTGCGAAATGCAATTTTTATGCTAATTTGAGACATTTACCTACGACCGGGGCATGGTGACATAGACTTCCTTGTTACAAGAATAAACGTCGCGTGAATAGGTAAAGTAGTCTGAATTAAGTGAAAATATTGTTCCTGGTGCAGTACTGTTACGACTATTGTATATCCGGAGATCGAGCACATATCAGAATCTAGATTACGGTTCTCCGTTCTCATAAACTCCTGTTTCGGTGTAGCTTATTTTCTAATAAAAAGTTCATGTTTGTAAGCGTACCAAATATCTCAAATACATTTTGTATGCGAGTTAAATCCTGCAACACACGAAATCTTTCTTTTTTCAACACAACCGCCCTTTATATTATACACTCCCATGGGCACCCATTGGGGGGGGGGGGCAAGAGGGGCATATGCCCCCCTGGCTTCTACTTCAAAGTGGAATCTTCTTAATAAGATACCCAATCCTTGGGTAAGGAGTGGCGTGTGAGTTTTTTTGGTCTTCAAAATATCCCAATATCCCAACATAGAAGGTATTTCTGAAACGAGTTGGCTAGCATTTTTGATCCTGCACAAGTTGTAAACGAAACATGCCCCCCCCCCCTGGAATTTGCTGATGTACACTGGGCACTTGTTCCCAGGATACAGTGTCGCTATGCTATTAGTTGTAGTGTTTTGGTTACCTGACCGGTGACCAATCACTAAGTACTTCCTTTGTTCTACTGTACCGCATTGATTTCTAACCATAACACTTTTATATTCATGATCATTATTGTCGTAAGCCATATTTATAAAAATTATTCGATCACACACATATATATATATATATATATATATATATATATCCTTTAATTCCTTTGGGTTAAGGCAATTAACTATGAACACTATATATATATATACAGGGTGACTTCGAAGTTGAGTCATTTATTTTAACAGTGAGTAGATCTGATCAAAAGAAATGTTTTTTTCCTTTACCATTTTTTTGGTAAATTTAAAGTAACAAAGTTATAGCCCTTTGGAAGTTTGAGTACCGCCCTGTCTCAATAATAATATTATGTGCTCGTGTTTGGCAACAACGGATATAATCCGCCTTATCGGTTCATCGCATAGGAAACAAAAAAGCGAAAGAATTTGGAACGGTGTTTTTACAATTATTTTATTCAGTTGTATACAGTCAGTATCAGTCGGTAACGCGTGAGTGAATAGTGGTGTCTGTTGCGTGGCTCAAACGAAATAAAAAATGGCACATGTTTATGCGGATCGGTTTCCCAATCGAGTGCAACCAACCCCTCGTGCTTTTGTTAATGTAGTACAACGGGCTCGTGAATCAGGTGACTTAAGACCTCACAGGGGAGAGCATGCCGGTGCTCCAAGACCTCACGATCAAATACAGGTCCGCACTGAAATACTTGTCGGGAGGATACTTTATAAAACAACGTAAATATTTTTTTTCATTTTTTTTTTTATTTTTACACACATATTTTGGTTCTTCCTTCTACAATCATTATCTGAAAATTAATGACTCAACTTCAAAGTCACCCTGTATATATATATATATAAGTACAATTAATTGTTAATTGGGAAATTTACAACATTACAGTTGTTGCAATTAATGTGATAAACAGTGTTGGTTGAATCAAGCAACTGAACCCTATCCTTCATTTTGGAAAACAAACTGTTTCCAGAATAAATTTAATTCAGCATTTTGGTAATTAGGATGAGGTTTCACCGAGCGTCCCTCGTAAAAGTCATACCCAAATTTGACAATGATGTTTACAGTTCCACATTCCGTCTCGTCAATCACATGTCATCTGTCGACGCATCATCTTTCCGTTCCGTCCACCTTCTCCACGTGAAGCGGATGTAGGAGGTTAGTAACGACGTTCCGATGTTTTGATTTATAGCGTGAACACCTAACGATGGTATCGTCGTTATCATTAAGCCCAATGTGTGCGTCCGGTTGGTTTTATATTTGTAACATGTGCTCTCATCCTCACGTTCGTTTCGAAACACCATCTGGCTGCAACCACAACGACGAGTAAGTTGTTTGACAATTTAAATCTTTCCCGTATTGGTTGCTAGCATCATAATTGCATTTTCAGCTCCTGATGAAGGCTCCATAGAGAATTGCCAAAAGCTAGAGATTACCGTCAAAAGTGTTAACCAAAGCCTAAATAGTTTGCCAATTTCCCAATTAACAATTCATTGGATTTTTTGCCCAACTGGTCGTTGGCAATGGCAATGACTACTGCTCATATATATATATATATATATATATATATATATATATATACATATTTCTAATAACGACGGGCACAATAATTGCCGATAAGGATAGAGAATTAACCCTTTCGGTACCGCTGACGGCAAGTTCCGACAGGAAGAAACTTGTCCCTAGGTCCAGTGTCGGCTGTATACGACAGGGGTGAAACAAACTGGTAAAACCAATGTCGATCATTTACGACACCTTTAAAAATTAAACTTCTCACAGGGACCAGTGTCGGCTAAATCCGCTCAGCACTGCATTTCCCCACAGACCAATGGCTTGAGAATCCGACACTGTCGAACATGGGCGACGGTGGACGCTCGGGGGAGTTCGGCGTCGAACACGTGGAGCAGGCAAATCTACTTATTATGACTGGCTTGAAACAGTTTCGTGTTATTATTGGGACATTATAGACATAGTTAGTTTGTGTTTGACTCTTGTGTTGTTCTGTTCATTGTGCGAGATGGATAACGCTGAACCCAGTACATCTGACGGTCGAAAAGGACGAAATAAGCGTAAAAGAGATAATGCAGGTGCGGGCTATTGTGGGCTGACCCCGGAGGAAGTCCGAAATCTTTCACAATATCTTATGAGCTCCGATGAGGATGAGCTCGAAGATCCCTTTGCTGACAGTGGAAGCGAGTTTATTCCCAGCTCGGAAGGTGAATCTTCAGAGGACGACTACTTGCAAGTGTCTGAAGGTGAAGACAACAAGCATGATTCATCTCAAATGCCGGTCTTGGAACCTGAGACAGCAATGGACGAGAGAATGGATATTATTAGAGAACGTACGAGGTTAGAAATAAAATCGACGGACAAAGAGTTTATTCCGCAAGTTTTTGCATTTGATAGTACTAATAGCGGATTAAGAAATGTTAGTTTAAATGATCAAAGCAGTGAAGTAGATTTCTTTTTGAGTCTTTTATCTGAAAATATTATGAACGTCATTGCCATCGAAACAAATAGGTATGCCATTCAAAGAGATGCACCTAAGTGGAAAAGCGTTGACATTTCAGAACTTTACGTATTTTTCTAACTCTGCTTATGACACGTGTAAAGAAACTGAATATCAAAGAGTACTGGACCCAAGATATCTTACTCAGAACTCCCGTTTTTGGACAGACTATGTCAAGAAACAGATATTGCGAGATACATCGCTATCTTCATTTCGCTAATAATGAGGAGGTAAAGCCTCACAATCGATGGGGGAAATTTGGAAATATTTTGACCGTTCTAAAAGAGAATTTCAAATCCCAGTTTTATCCTTTCGAACATTTGGTTATTGACGAAAGTATGGTCCTTTTCAAAGGTCGCCTCAGTTTTCGTCAATACATCAAAACAAAAAGACATAGGTTCGGAATCAAACTGTATGTCTTGTGTGATTGTGAGACTGGCATCGTCTTGGATTTTATAGTGTACGTAGGCAAAGGCACACAAGAAGATACTCGTGGATTGGGTGCTACAGGTGAAATTATCAGTAATCTATTACAACCATACATGAACAAGGGTCATTCTCTTTTTACTGACAACTTTTATACCAGTCCAACTTTGTCAACATTTCTATTTGAAAATAAAACCAATTCATGTGGGACCGTGAAACAAAATAGGAAAGAAATGCCAATTTTAGACAAAAAACTTAAGAGGGGTGAATGTGACTGGAGAAGCAGTGAAAACATGTTGGTGGTTAAATGGGAAGATCGGCGAGATGTCACTATGCTGACTACACTACATGAGAATAAAATGGTCAGTCTTCCAAGGAAGGATAGGGTCACAAATGAAAACCTTCAGAAGCCATTATGTGTCTTGGAATATAACAAGCAAATGGGAGCTGTCGACCGAAGTGATATGATGATCAGCAGCATTGATTCAACGCGCAAGAGCATGAAATGGTATAAAAAACTATTTTTTCATA